CAGATTTTGATATGGCCACATTTATTGATCCCTTGTTTTATGAATTTTGCTTTTTAATGTCCTTTTTAGGAATGCTTCCCCTAGGTTATAAATATCTTTTTGTATATTTTCTCCTCTTTCTGGATCAGAGCACTGCCTGAATCTACACATCTTCCACTGGGGCTGGTAGATGAGGCAGGATGCTGAGGTGCCATCCAGGAAGCAACAGTGTGTGCTTTCAATGGGATCCAGCTGCAGGGCAGGACTTAAGAATGGGCTTCTTAGGCTGCCTAAGGGGACTGGCTTATGTGACAGCAAGAAGCTTTTCTGGGGGACATCATAAAGCAAAGAGAAACTTTCCAACTATCCAGAAAAGGTATGCAATGGCTTTCTCTGGAGATGACCATAACCCAAGACAGATACGCACAGACACTTAGGGTAACTCCACCTGGAGAGGCTCAAACAAGATTGAGGGTCTTCCCATAGACAGCATTGTCTAATGGAAATACAATGTGAGCTACATAAGTATTTTTAAATTTCTGGTAGCTACATTAAAGAATCAGTAAAAAGAAACAAGGAAACTAATTTTAAGGATTTAATCTAATATTTCCAAAACAGTGTCATTTTAACATGGAGTCAATATAGCATATTACTGGCGGCACCTGGGTGGCTCAGTTGTTAAGCATCTGCCTTTGGCTCAGGTCATGATCCCAGGGCCCTGGAATCGAGCCCCATATCAAGTTCCCTGCTCGGCGGGAAACCTGCTTCTCCCTCTCCCACTCCCTCTGCTTGTGTTCCCTCTCTTGCTGTCTCTCTCTCTCTGTCAAATAAATAAATAAAATATTTTTTAAAAAGTAAAAAATATAGCATATTATTAATGAGGTATTAAAAATCTTTTTGTACTGAGTCTTTGACACCTAGTGTGTATTTTACACTCACAGCACATCTCAATTCAGGTAACCACATTTCCAGGGCTCGACAGCCACCTATGTCCAGTGGCTACCGTGCTGGAAAGTGCAACCCTGAGGATTAAGAGCAGAATGTCCAAGATGTGCTGGGAGGCATCTTCTCTGTGAGTATGAAGGTGTTTAGGTGACCATAGTCTGAATGTTCAGTCCACTCTTCACCCTCCCCTGCAGCCCAGTCTTCTTCCTGCCAAAAGTGTATCATAAATTCAATTATTCCCACCTACTGATGTGGATTAATCATCCCAAAGCACAGTTTTGCTTGGATTATTTCCTGGAGAGGATGTTGTTGACTTTTAGGAGGAGGTGATCATTCAGCTGAAACTTGGAGGGTAGGTGGGAATTAGCCAGGGGGTCAGAGAGGACAGTATGAACAAGGGGGTCGCTGGAATGGACAGGCGGGGGGAAGAGCAGACATCAGACCCCAAGTCTCTGCTGAATTTAATGGCGGTCATCCAACATTTGTCAGTAGCGGGTACGGGAGAAAGGCAAGACCAGAGACAAGGAAACTAGTGAAGAAAGTGCAGATCCAGATAAGAATTACGGAGGGTCTGATCTAATGCAATTATTCATTCATTCATCCATTCCACAAACATTTGCCAAGTGCCTATTGTGTGCAGAAAACAAAGCAGAGAAAATCTGTGACCTCATAGAACTTCAATATCTTGTAGGAAAGGAGGTAAATGGTGAGTGATGGAGAGTGTTCCTCAGTTTCAGATCTCACATGGTGAATGTGGGGCCATTAATTCTCTGAGACAGAGAATCAGGAGGCAGAGCAGGCTCGGGAAGAAAGTTTCGGGTTTGGCTTATCTTTTTTGACAGATGTTTGGGGTGTTTGGGGGACACCTAAGTGGAGCTGTGTGGCAAGCAGCCACACAGACATATTTGGAGATCAGGAGATATGGAAGGTGTTGACTTGCTAGAATGCAGGATTCATTCATTTGTTCATCCATGTATTTATTTGACAGCTACTAAGGGAAACCTAGAATGTGCCATGCACTGTACTAAATGCAGAGGATTCCTAAGTGAGCAAAACAGATATGATCCCTACCTTTGTAGAGCTTCAAATCCAGTAGTGATCGTGGCTGATAAAAAAGCTCAAACCATCATGTGTGGTGGGGGAGGAGGTAGGGATCTAAACATATGAGGGAGGAATTGGGGGGGTGGGCTGGGCCAGACTATCAGAGACCCTCAATAGCACACTAGGGAGACGGAAATCCGCCTCGATCTGTTACCAAGCCCTGCCTCCCCAGCAGTGCTCACTTTTGTCCAGTCCTCTCACTGCGCCTTCACTCAGAGCAGGCCACGGCCTCCTCCTTGAAGGGAGGTGACAGGTTCTCTAAAGGGCCTCCTTGCCTCTCATCTCCCCCGCCCCACCACCACCTCCAATGCAAACAGAGTGATTTTTCAAAATGAAAAGATGATGTTACATTCTGTGGTAGGCAGAAGGCTAAGATGGCCCCATGATCTCCATCCTTCTGGTGTTACTCTGGTGATTACGTTATGCTGTGCAGCACAAGGAATTCTGCAGATACAGTTAAGGCTACTAATGAGTCGACATTAAAACAGGGAAATTATCCAGGTGAATCCACCTAATGAAGTGAGCCCTTTAAAGGCAGGGAGTTTCTCCAGTGAGGAAAGGGCAAGTCACAGATACTCAAAGCCAGGGAGGTTTCGAAGGATTCGACATGCTGTTGCTGGCTTGAAGATGAAGGGGGTCATGCCGAAAGGACCTAAGAAAGGTTTCCAGGCGTGGAGAGCGAGCTCCAGCAGCCAGCCAGCAAGGAAACAGGGACCTCCCTCCTCCAACTGCAAGGAGCTGGATTCTACCAACAACCTGAGCGAGCTTGCGAATGTGTTCCCTCCCAGAGCCTCCACATGAGAATGCAAGCCAGGCAACAGCCTGCCTATAGCCTTGGGAGACCCTGAGCTGAGAAGCCAGCCGTGCCAAACTGGACTTCTGATTTCCAGAACTACGAACTCATAGGCGTGTGTTATTTCAAGCCACTACATTTATGGTGATTTGTTCCACAGCACTAGAAAACTAATACATCCCGTGGTTTCTAACCCTCCAACAAAACTTCCTTCGTGGACTTGCCAGGTCTCAGCATCTAATCCTTATAAGAGTCCTACTAGGTGGGTATTTTATTATCACCATTTCACAGGTGAAGAAACTGAGGCTCAGAAAGGCAAAATACTTTTCCTAAGGTTACCAAGCTAGTGACAGGGCGAAGATTTTTACTCAGAGAGTCTGAACTCAGAATCCACACTCTATGGCTTCTCATGGCCCTTAGGGTAGGTTCAAATCCCCATGCGAGGTATTAGAGACCCTTCCTGATCAGCTCCTGTTCAGTCATCCAAGCTTGTTCTTCCACCCTCCTCACTTCAGCTCCCTGTAGCTCGAGTAACTGCCATGCTCTCAGTTTCTTGCCTTTCCACGTCCTGCTCCTTCTGCCTGGAATGCTGCCTTCCTCTTCCCTCTGTTTTTCCTTTGGCTGACCCAAATGGTGATTTTGGCCTTGCCTAAGATGCCACCTCGCTGGGGGAGTCTTCCTTGGCTTTCTCCGGCTGGGTAGATACTACTCCAGCATTCCCCTAGCACCTCATACTTCCCTTATCAGAGCCCAGGAGACCCTGTGTTGGTCACCTTTACTCAGCGGGGCTCTTCACTAGACTGTGAACTCCTTGCTGGCCAAGACTGTGGTATGTTCATCACCAAATCCCTAGCACTGTGTCTGGAGCCACTCATTCCCGAGTGAATGAGTGAATGAATAAAAGCACTTTATTCAGGAGGCAATGGCAGCCATCCAAGGTCTTGCAGTAAGGGAGTGACCTTATCAGACCTGTGCTTACAAGGACAGGCTGAGGGCAAGTCTGGCAACCAAAAGACGATCCTCACCAACATGTGAGGGTGAAAAAAATTCATTTACACCATGGTCTTGGATTTCTGGGGCTGTAAAACTTGTTTCTTTTCTCTTCTTGACCACATCTGGATACTGGATACGTCAGAAACTGTCACGGTCCTCACTAGTATTCTCCTATGGAGGTGGGAGGCTCTCCTAAAGAGCTCGTGACTGGGGTTTAGGCCCCGAAATCTTGCTAGAATTAGGCGCCTCCGGCCAAGAAGGCTGTGCGAAGCCAAGGCTATGTGGGGAGCCACCGACATTGACCATGCGGGGAACCTGGAGTGGTCTCTGAAGATCCCACTCACGCCTAGACCTCCCCATCTCCGCACTTGCTCGAGGAGCTCACGGCCCCTCTACTTCTCCCAAAATGTGTAAATATTGCTTCCTGAGGAGGAGGGCTGGAAGGCCTTCCGCGTTCCAGGCACGCGGCGCTTACTGCTCCCAGCTGGGGGTCACGCGACGCGGTCGGAGAGTCTGTCAGAGACGCTGCGCATCTTGGTTTCTTCGTCTGCGCAAAAGACACTCCCCAGACGGCGCGGCCTTGAAGGACCGGGGGGGGGGGCGCCGGGAAAGGTGATAAAGTCAAGGTGCGTACAGCTAGCTCTTCATGCAAGGAGGGAAACCAGTGGGCCGAGGGAGACGCCCCGCCTAGGCACGGGCTCCAGCCCTCGAGCAGAAGGGTCTCCGGGTCCTCCGTCGTACCGACGCGAAACCGTACGGAGCGTCCGCGGAAGAGGCCGAGATTCCCGCCGCGGGCAGCCGGACAGAGGGCTTGGACAGGGCGCTCCGGGAGCGGCGAGGCTGCGAGGGGCGGGTCTGGGCGCTGCGCCTCGCGCTCTCCGGCCGCAGTTCTGGGCGCTGGGGGCGGGCGGGGGAGGAGCCATGTGGGGAGGAGCAAAGCCTGGAGGCCCCGGGAACCTTGGGCAGAGCCAGAGCGGCGAGAGCCGGATCCCGGGCGCACGGCCCCGGGAGAGCGCGCCGTCCGGGCCGAGCGCCGCGGCGGGTTCCGTGCGCAACCGGCCAGAAGGACTAGGGCTAACGGGGCGAGGCTCCCAGGCTCCTAAACCGTCGCAGAGCTGCTGGGCTGCCCGCCGCCCCCGCCGCTCCGCCGGGGCCCAGCCCGACCCGCCACCTGCGTCCCGGTTGCGCCATGGATCCTTCGGAGAAGAAGATCTCGGTGTGGATCTGCCAGGAGGAGAAGCTGGTGTCCGGTCTCTCTCGCCGCACCACCTGCTCGGACGTGGTGCGGGTGCTGTTGGAGGACGGCTGCCGGCGGCGACGGAGGCAGCGGCGGGGCCGGCGGCGGGGGGCGGCCGGCGACTCGCCAGGCCGGGAGGAGCTGCGGGAACTCCTGGACGAGGACGACGAGGACGACGACGAGGCGCTGCCGCAAGGCATGCTGTGCGGGCCCCCGCAGTGCTATTGCATCGTGGAGAAGTGGCGGGGCTTTGAGCGCATCCTGCCGAACAAGACGCGCATCTTGCGCCTCTGGGCCGCCTGGGGCGATGAGCAAGAGAACGTGCGCTTCGTGCTGGTGCGCAGCGAGGCGTCACTACCCAACGCGGGCCCCCGCAGCGCCGAGGCGCGCGTCGTGCTCAGTCGCGAGCGCCCCTGCTCGGCCCGGGGGGTCCCGGCGCGGCCCAGCCTGGCTCTGACCCAGGAGAAGCAGCGGCGAGTGGTGCGCAAGGCCTTCCGCAAGCTGGCCAAGCTCAACCGGCGGCGCCAGCAGCAGCCGTCGTCGCCCTGTTCGTCCGCTTCGTCGTCCACCGCCTCGTCGTGTTCGTCTTCGCCGCGGGCCACGGAGAGCGCAGCCGTGGAGCGCATGGAGACGCTGGTGCATTTGGTGCTCTCACAGGACCACACCATCCGTCAACAGGTGCAGCGGCTCCGGGAGCTGGATCGCGAGATCGATCGCTATGAGGCCAAGGTGCACCTGGACCGCGTGCGGCGACACGGAGTCAACTACGTGCAGGACACTTACTTGGTGGGCGCCGGCATCGAGGTCGACGGGCCCAGCCCGGGAGAGGAGCCGGAGGCGGCTGCGGCTCCCCTGGACGGCGAGGCGCAGGCGACCGCGCTGGAGGAGCTGGCCCGGCGGTGCGACGACCTGCTGCGCCTGCAGGAGCAGCGAGCCCAGCAGGAGGAGTTGCTCGAGCGCCTCTCAGCCGAGATTCAGGAGGAGCTGAACCAGAGGTGGATGCGGAGGCGCCAGGAGGAGCTCGCGGCGCGGGAGGAGCCCCTGGAGCCTGACGGCGGCCTCGACGGCGAGCTGCTGCTGGAGCAGGAGCGGGTCAGGACGCAGCTCAGCACCAGCCTCTACATCGGGCTCCGGCTCAACACGGACCTGGAGGCCGTCAAGTCGGATTTGGATTACAGCCAGCAGCAGTGGGACAGCAAGGAGCGCGAGCTGCAGGGCCTTCTTCAGACTTTGCACACGTTGGAGCTGACGGTAGCGCCCGATGGGACTCTCGGCTCTGGCGGACCCTCCCGGGAGCCCCAGCCCCAGGGCTGCGCCGAGGTGTGGGTGGATCAGGCCCGCGGACTGGCCAAAAGCTGTCCTGGCAACGACGAGGACTCGGATACCGGGCTGAGCTCTATGCACAGCCAGGACTCGGACTCGGTGCCTGTGTGCGAATCTCTTGTGTAAGAGGAGCAGGGTGGGAGAGGGGGACGACCCTTCTCCCTTCCTCGCAGAAAGCCCTGGCATGGCGGGCTCAGGGACTTGAAACCAGGCTGGGGGTGGGCCGGGGAGCCTTGCCAGGCAGCAGCGCTCCCACCGGGCGGGCGGGGGCGGGGGGCTGGGGACACCTGTCCTGCGAGGGCGCTCCTCTGGTTCCCCAGTGAGTATAGAGGGGTGCGGGACAGGGAGGCCAGGTCTCCATTCCAAGCTCTTTCTGGGGAAGGAAAACAAAAGCCCCAGGGAAACTGACGTGGTCCGAACCCATTTTCAAAAAAAAAAAAAAAAAAAGAGAGAGAGAGAGAAAGAAAAGAAAAAAGAAAGTATTATGAAGATTTCAGCAATCTTCTGTATGGGAAGGACTGATGGCAGCTAGAACTTTAGTTTGTGGCATAAAGTGCTTTTAAAAGAAACTCTTGGATGAAAAGGAAATTCCTTGAATGTTAATTGTGACTGTGAACGTGTTAAAACTAGCCAAAGAGGAGTGCTGGTGTTGGTCTCAGCCTTACTTACATCTCTGATAAAACCCGCAGGCACCCAAATCCTGGCTCTTTACGTTTCTGCAGACTGGGGAATTACCCCTCTGCTAAACTGCTCATCTTTTATTTTCTTTCAAAGGCTGAGCTGTATGGAAGTCTAACCCTGCATTTCCTCCTTGCAAATACAGTATGTGTTAAAATAGAATCCTTTCCCTAAAATAACCTTTTATTATTACAAAAGTCAGACATAACGCTTTTGAGATAGAGAAGCATGGCAGACATAATCCCTGGTTACTGTTTAATCGAGACCCTTTGGGATTTGCCCCTGCAAAGGGACCTGTGCTGTCCTTTCTTTTCATTCATTTTGTTGCTTCATCCACTGAATCAGTTACTCCAAGAAAAATAAAAGGGAAGTTGCAGAATTCAAGTGAAGTGCAACTAAAGTTGCTATTTAATGAGCACTCTGGCTGAAACGGAGACTTGAAAGCAAAGATCTTTGTTAGTGTTCAGCTTTTGAACTAAGCTATATGATTAAAACCAACCATGACCTCAAGGTATTTTTACCCCAACCCAAGTCTAACTTCAGTAGCTTTGGTCAGAGATTAATTAGTTACTTGTCCAAGCCTAAACTGAGAGTGCAAATATCAACGTTTACTAGATAAGGCCCCCAAAAGAAAATGTAAAATAAAACAATCTAATAGCACACCTTGGGTGAGCAATTTGATAAACCAGGGCATGTAGCCACAGATAAATGCATAGAAAAGTGAGCTTAAAGGTGACTTGAATTACTGTGGTCTGGCTCATGCCTTTGCACACACCCGGAGATACAAGTGCAACACCTCTCTCTTAATAGCTGGTGATGGAGCCCTGGTGGGGACGCAATGTAATTGTTTCAGTTATTTCAATGAAAAGTTATCAGTTGTAGCTAGTTGTTGCCCCGTGGAAGGAGCCTGTTGGCCCTGTTCCCTCTGGAGCTCAGGACTTCTGAGGAATGTGGGATCTAATCTGTCCTGAGGAGGTATTAACAATGGGGTGTGTGTGTGGTACCAGCCTGCTGCAGAAGCCTGGTATCAGCCTAACCATGGAGGGGCTGGCTTCAGTTTCAACACCACATGTGAAGATAACTTAAAAGGTCTTGCTTTATCAAGAAATTTCTTTTCCTTGGAGAGATTCTCCCGTCTGCTTGTTGCCAACGGGGACCTGCCCACCTGACCCCCTCAAACCATTTGAGCTATCTCCTTTTTGGAGACAACCCTCCTTCCCCCCCGCCCCATGCTATTATAGCACACGTGGATATTTCAGATTTTCAAGTAAAATGGGAATGAAATGGCCGTTTTCTTAATTGATGTTTTCAAAAGACATTAGCTGGCATAATTATGGTTTTTTAGTTTCGTCGGATGCAGAAAACATCTATGCATTTGGTCTTGATTGATTAAATGATTAAAATGAGGAGGGGACCAAAAGAAAGCCACTGTCCCTAGATGATCATTTGATCTGGTAAACACAAAGCCTAATGATAGCTTCCCTTTTGAGGCAGAGGTAAAATCCTCATTAGAGTGTGACAAACGCTACTTGTCTGAATGGTTTATGCTGGCAATGGGCTGACCTGGTGGTTTTAAAATTATTGTCCTTTTTTTTTTGTCCCCCAGAGTGGTAGGGGAGGTGGTTCTTAGATGTTTATTAACTCAAAAGAGAACACAGAAGTTGGCAGAACAGGACGGCCTGGCAGAAAGGGGCTGTTTTCCTTTTCACTATTATTATTTTAAACTCTGACAGGCTGCTGACATCAGCAAATATGCCTGAAGCCTGTAAAGCAAATTAAGCCACATCACAGGGAGAAGGCCTGTGGGATTCTCTGGTGCCTTCTTTCCAGAACCTTCCTGTCCTGTCCACCTGAAGATGCTTCTCCAGTCAACTCTTCAGGCAGCGTGGAGGCTCTGTTTATAACAAACGGCAGCCCAGTCTGCCCATTTCTCCTTTCATCCAAATCAATTATGTCCCCAAAAGGCACTCTGTGTGGGTAGGAGAAAGGAGAAAGGGGGGGGGAAGGGGTGCCAAAATAGGAGACAATAGCTCCTTTTACTGAGAGCTTTTGCAAGGCTGAGAGAGGCGGAGTATGGATATAAAAAGGACCAACCCAACACCTGTGCCTAGAAAGTGCCTAATAGATTCTAGATGTTGAAAAAACATGATTTCACTTAAAAAATAATCATCCTGGCACTAAGAATGAGAATGAATACATCGAGGTGAAAGCCTCAGCACTAAGGATGTCAGAGCCCCTGGGAGAAGTGACCTGGTGTCTGAGCAGAACGGAAATCCTGGGGAGGAACCAGCAAGCTCGCGGAGGACAGGACCAGGCCGCATCCTTGTTGGAAACTGATAGAATGTATCATGGCTTTGATCTTAAGTATCTCTTTCTCAGCCATCTCCCAAACCCGGAAGATTTCATCTGGTATCTCTCTGTGTTTGCTTATAAAACGTGATGATGATAATTTGCTAATTAGACAAGTTACATACTATGGTCCTTAAGATGAACCTGAAAATAGCAACAGTAAAAAGAAAGAAAAGTCACTCAAGATCCTTATCACGGCTAAAATTTGACATATTTTCCTTCCTGACCTTCTGAATTGTGAAGGTTTCATATTTTGCTTCTTTTTTAAGAAAATAATTTAAATGAAATTGTATAGATGCTTTTATGGTCAGGTTTTGACTTTGTGAAGGCTCCATCCGTCTGTTGGATGTTCCATTGTGCCTGTAACTCTTCTCAAGTAAGTAGGTTGTCCCTGATATTATTTTACTATTATAACATAACACTGTGATAGGCTTCTTTGGGCATGTGTACATTTTCCCCAGGAAAATGGAAAGAGACTTCCCAGGTCAAAGAGTACAAGCATTTAAGGACTTGATACTTAATTGCCAAATTGCTTTTCGAAAATTTGTTCTAATAACAACCTGCTATGGGTGATGGGGCCTATTTCCCCACACCTTGGCTTTCATTAGATACTACATTTTGTTAAGAAAATATTTTAACCAGAATTAATTAATTAGTACTTTGTGGCTCTTGGAATGCAGGGCTGGCAACCACTGGCTTAAAATATCCTTACAACAGAAATGTGGATCGTCTGACCAGAAGTGTTAAGAGGATGTGGTGCTTTCTCTCCTTCCTGTTTTCCTTGTCTTCCCTGAGCACCTGCTTTGGAATAGCGATCTTGTCTCCTATCAGAGCTTGCCAACAATCTGTCTGAGCAGGAGGGCAGAAACTCCACGTGAGCAAGAGCAGGAGAATTAACACATAAGAGAAACAGATTTATAAAAAGTAAATGTTCTTTAACTTTTTTTCATCTTTAGTCCATGAGAAAAGGTTATTCTTAGAAGATGATGTTATAACATGTATTTGATTTTGTGCTTCTCCCTACCCACTCCTATTAAAAATTAAATCAAAATAAAATAAATACATTAGCCCACTATTAACAGCCTCTCAAGAACAGTTTTGATTTTTCCAGGAATTTCTTTCTACCTATGAAATAACACCTGAGCTCATCTTTAAATTCTTGGAAAGGGAAAATTTGGCCATGAAAATTTGTAAAGTTTCCTGTGTGGAAATGTTTGTGAAATGGATTGTCCTAAACAGAAAGAAAGGAGGACAAGGAGAAACTATTTTTTGCTGAGTACTTTCCAAATGCCAGATCCTTGTGCTGAGTACTGTCACATGCATTTCCTCTGCATTCATCTTGTGAGATAGAACTCTCTAACCTCCAATTTTTTTTTTAATATTTTATTTATTTATTTGAGAGAGAGAGCATGAGCAGTGGGGAGGGGCAGAAGGAGAGGGAGAAGCAGGCTGCCCGCCGAGCAGGGAGCTCGATATGGGGCTCGATCCCAGGACCCTGGGATCATGACCTGAGCCGAAGGCAGACGCTTAATCTACTGAGCCCCCCTAACCTCCAGTTTTTACAGATAAAGAGACTAAGGCCATCTAGCTGGTAAGTAGCAGAAGCAGGACTTTAACCCTAGCCTGACTCTAAAACCTGTGCCCATTTTGCTCCATACACCAGGCACGTCATACCCACGAAGGGGTCAGCGTGTCGGGAGAAGAGAGTCCTCACATGTTCTAGAGTGTTGGCACTGGAAGGGCCTCAGAGATGATCAAGTCTAGTCCAAGTATTTCCACCAGGAAGGTGGAGTGACTCTCAAAATCATGGAGCCAGTAAACATCTATTAGGTGGGGATTTAGGAAAAGATACAGGAGGAGAAATTCCTGTGTAAATATCTGGGTGTCTATCTGTCAGAGATGAAGTCCTTGCCAGTGGAAAAAAAAATTTCTCTCCCCAAATTAACGCCCTATGTATCAGCATGGAATTTTTGACTGAATGCCCTAAGGGCACAGGTGGATAGTCAGCAATGGAGACCCCTCGGCCGTCAGCTGTGTGCTATTCACAATCACATCTGGAAGGTGGTACCAACCATGGCTGTGCTGAAACGGCACCCCCC